TATATTTAACTTAATTCAGATATCTGATTTAGTTTATTTAGTTCAAGTGTTTAATGCTATTTAAGCAGGGGGTGTTGGGCTGCTTCCCCTAAATGAATGGCTAACAGGGGAAGAGCATATTATTGTGCTGCTGATGATGAAGATGCCACGACCTGATAATTGTCTCTCTCACATCACCCCCCTATGATTCCTTATGCACCCGCAGGGGGAAAGTACAGGGAGATGTCATCAGCAATAAACCTTTCTGTCTGCTTCCACTGTGGTTGTGCAGCCAAATCCTCCCTTATGATAGAAATTTGACAATTATGAATGAGTTTTGTGTTTCCTGCATCTGTGTGTGGGATGTGAGGTGAAGAGCAGAAGCTTATGAGCTCTGACATGCACATTGCAACAATGATGGCAAAGAAGACTCAAGAGAGCGAAAAAGCCAAAAAAAATAAAAAGTAAAATTAGTATTCACTCTGCTGCTCCTGTCTCACATTTGTGTCTGTATGCAATATATGCTGTATCAGACAGTGAGTTTTTTCTATTTGTTTTCTCAGGATTAAGGTGGTATTCCTGCTTAGTTGGGGATGTATCTGGGTGGACAAGGTCAGTGACCCTGCGAGGAGGACAGGTATCTAAGAAACATGAAAATAAGACTTTGTGACAGGCCAAAACAGAGAGAGGAGTCTGATGCGTTTAGAATTAGCGCCAGACAGCCACTGCATTGTAATCGTACACACACAAATATTCAGGTTTGCACAGTGTGTGTTTGTGCATTGTTGCACCATACTGTTGAGTGGTGTTCCAGGCAAAGTACAGGCAGTTGTGCTTAGATTTTCATGCCTTTTGTTGTCTCAGTTGTTGTGCTGTATGTTGTGATTCAATGTGCCATTGCTCTGTACAGCCTAATCACAATCCCGTATTTGTCATTAAAGGGATTTTGGCTCTATGAAGCTTTCACTGTAAGAACATGATTTGTTTTTAATTGATGAGCCGTGTTAAATACTGGTAGGTAAGTTTGCTAATGGCAAAGTCAAATGGAGGATGATGATAAAAGTTTAGAAATGGAAAACATACTTTAACAGCACAAGATCCTTATTGTCAATGCAAGTTCACACAAGTGACGTATTTTCTTTATATTTTCAAATTACCTATGTGCACAAAAAAAGAGTGTGGCACATGAACCTTGGAATATGTATGAATGTCTTTACCAAGATTCAATCTGCAAAGAGTGGCATTCTGCGCTGAGCTACAGAGCTGAAATTCAGCTATCAAGCACGATGGACGGTGTCTGCATCTGTACTGAAAGCAATCAGAGGGAGTATAAAGCCTCCCTGTCTCTCATGGCCACACAGAGGCTACCTGAGGCTCATCCCTTCCAGAAAATTATTGTGTGAAGAGCAGCTGCAAGCTCAATGTGAGCATGTATGAAGGGTCGAGCGCCTGCTTCCCCAGCGATCTTTACTATATGAAGGTTGCAGCATGTGCAAGGTCAGAATACCTTAAATAATAAGCTCTTTTGTGGGAGTGCACGTGTATTAAGTGCACACATGTATGCCTCCTTGTGGAATGCTGAGTGAGTAAAATTATAATTATATATTTTTTTAAATATACCTATTTGAAATCACACTATGCCACTAACCAGGCATAAGAGCAAAAATTTACTTCTATGAAAGGGTGTGATTTTGTAGTAATTGCAAGGGGGAGAAAGTCTGCAGTTTACTGAAGCAGTTCAGTTCATGGCCTGTCCGAGAGCACTTAATTCCTCTATTGGTAGTTATTCATATTGTTGAAGGAGGGAAGAGCACTTGTTGTTCACCTCACACCTCCCAGAGTTCACCAGCTGGCCTGAGGATTCAGATTGTCAATCTTGTGCTGTGTGCAGCCACACTGCTGCAGTTGTAATTATAGGTGGATTATGTGCATTTTCTTGGATGTTTTTGTGCAAAAGGTAGAACGAATCTGTGATGACTGTCAATGAGGTGTATAAACCTCTGAGTCAGGTGATTAACTTAGTATTTTTGTTACCACTTTATCTACTTTATTTACACCTCCTCTCGATTCATTTATCTACACCACGCTGTATCTGTCCTGTCTATTTTCAATGTGTCAACTTTCATTTTATAGGCACCTTTTTTTCCTCTGCATATAGTGTGAGCTCAGTTAAACTGGCATCTGCTGCATCTGTTCAGTTATTAATAATGTCCCTACAAAGGCTTTAACATTAGAATTGGAATGATTAGTCAGTTGACAGTAAGATAATCCGCCACTATTTTAATAATCCATTTGCAAAAATTCCATAAAATATTTGATGGTTCAGACTTCTTAAATGCAACACTTTGGTGCTTTTCCTTTCCTTGTTATCTTTGGTTGTTATTGAGAGGAAAAAGAAGCAATTTGAATAGGTCACTTTGCGCTCAAGGATGCATGTATTTCTGACTTTTTATAGACCAAACAATTAATCGATTTAATCGTGAACATTAAAAGCAGATTCAACATAATTGTTAGTTGCAGCCCCATTACACACCTTGGCTCTGCTCACAAGGACACTGAAAGGACACTAAATATCAACCTATCCTCCTAAATATTCCACAGATTATTCTCTTGATATATGCATATTAGCCACTTAGTTCACTGAAACAAATCCAGCCAGCCTGCTGAGCATCACAGATGAAAAATAACTCAGACCGCTGCCAAAAATAAACATAATTTCTCAAGCAGTCAATTATACAACTGAGATGGTTTATATTATTCATAACCCTCCAATCAAATACAGAGAATAATTAACATTTGAAACACATCATTCATCACATAAACAACAACCAGTGGCACCTTGTGTTAAATAGTCCTCTATATAAGTAGTCATTTGCAAAAGGCCCCCCGAGACCTAAACCCTCTCTGCGAATTGTGAAGCTATTACAACAGAAAATCATCCAAATCGAATTTTAATGCATAGTAGGCTTATAAGATTATTAATTGCGGCTCCGTTGCATAATAAAAAGTTACTTAATTTATTAATTGCTCCATAATTTATCAATGTCACGGGGCTAATGAATTACCCAAGATCTCCTGCTGAGGGATGTCATGTACGTTTTTCATAGATACATGGTCTGGAGAGGGAGAAAAAGCCCCAATTAATTTCATTATCATTAGCCACAGACCTTTTGGGTTACAATAGGCTGTAGCCCTGCAGCTCTCAAAATGCTCCCAGAACCAAGACAACACAAGAGTGAGTGTTAAGCCTATTATCCCACACTCTTGTATCTAGTTATACAACGGCTGAAAAGGCGCTCATCCCCCATATTTTAAGTCAGCGTGTGGTCTCTTCTTGCTCTGATCTGATGAAACAGCTCCATCTCAACTAAATAAATCTGTGTATGTTAGTATATTATATATAGTCTTTCACAACCTCTTCCTGTTAGACCTCACATCACCAAAAGGGCCATTACTTTACTTTGAGCACCTGAATAATACCTTAATATGAAAACCACAAGGTCATCCTTGAAGGGATGTCAACACAAACGGTTCATCAAACAAGCACTCAACCTCACTTGAATATTTCCACTGTATTTTATTTAGTTATTTTGGAGCATGTTCATTTCCTGGGCCCTGTGATACTCAGCCCAGGGGTTTCTGAGCAGAAGGATGTTCAAGTTTTCTCCTGTGAATCAGGAGCTAATTTCTCATTAAAGGCTGCTTTTTAATAAATCTGCAAGCCAACATGAAAGAGGAGTGGGTTGGTCCAAATTAGATTGTAAGGTTATGTAATGGTATTCACTAAGGCTTCAGAAACAGATCATGTTTGCATATCAGTGTGGGTCCTTAGGAAAGTATCATGCTTTACTTATGTATACTGGAAGTTTTTACAATTCATTTATTATTAGTTATCTTAATTAGAGAACAGAAATTGGTTATTCTGATGAGAGGTTTCACTCAGTCCAAAGTTATCACCTCACCTACAGTATAAATCCTGTATTTAATCATATGTGACATGAAGGTGAGAGTCTAAAGAGAGCCGCTTGTCTCATCTTTCTAAAGATCTTTGACATGAAAAAGTAGTCCATCCCCTGTCTATGGGATGCCACATTAAATCTCACACACCCTGTGTCTCCCTGCAACTGTTCGTAGCAAATTAATGTGAATAATAAAAACAAATCTAATAAAATATGTGCCTGGTTTAAATTCCTTATTTTAAACCTGATGCGTAGGCTACTGCAGATAAACCCACTTTCTTCAGATTACATACAATTGTGTATGCAGTTTGGTAGACTGACACAAGCTTTGATTAAGTATACACAAAACATAAATATCAAACTGGTTAAAGCTTTAACATTATTATTTAATCATTGCTTTTGCAGTGTTTGTGTCCCTCTTTTCTTGGTTCGGATGAAAGTGGAAGGTCACCTGCCTGTAGTGTAATTGATTTTCGACACGTGCACTTTTCGTGTTAATTATTGAGGTGAAAATTGTTACTTTCACGTTCAGTTATATGCTTCCTAGTGTCCCAATAATGTAGAATTAATGACTCCCCATACGGGCAGAGAAGAGCACACTGATGATGGACACCGTCGGCACAGTGCGCTCCGCACGTTGCATGCACGAGTGTCCGCTGGGAATAGTGATGCACCCGCCGTACCTGAGCCCCTGAACAGGGTCAAAGTGAATTTGTACTTCATAATTCTAAATTAGGGCCAAAATAACACAGACTTCAGTATAAAAATGCATTTGGGAGCACAGCGGGCGTAAATTATCTCTGCATCTCTGCTGGAGACACAAGTGACCTGCACGTCTGGTAATTTTATCATTTTGATTATTACATCTCAGCTATCGGTTACCATTCCCACATGTTCGTCCTCGTAATTTTAATCTACTTATATTCGTGAGTTTGGAAGTTTTCTTTTATTGCAAACGGGGTGCAGACTCCTTACCGGCGCAGGTACGAGGTGATAAAAGGTTATTAGTAGCAAGACACATAAAGACTACAGTGTGACTTTTCCCCACTCCCACTCTCTTACCAAACAAGCGGTTCCGTTAAGGAGGAGTAGGATGAAGCCGCGGTTGGGACGCATCATTCCGGCGCGTAAAACCCACAGCTCCCCCTCCCTGGTAGCAAAAAAGGGAAATTAAAAAAACTCCCGCACACGGGCTTTTCCTCCTTCAGGAAGATGCTCTTCCTCCGGCACCGGATCCCTCTCGGCTGACGCACGGTCCCATGTCCAAGACAGGCTGAACTACAGCTTCCACAAACCTAAAAAAAAACACCCCGCTGGAAACCACTTGGAGCTCCCCCTTTTTTGTCTTGTCTTGTCTTTTTTTTTTTTTTTACCACCAATCCCGGGTTTGAGTCAAATTAGTTGTGGTATGAGAAATCCATGAATATGCGGTAGGCTGTTATCATCCATGCAAACAAATCAAGAGATCCCAGCTCAGAGTGAAATGGGTTCACTGGGAAGTGGTGGGTATAGATCATATCTGGTCATCGGTGCCAGTGGAGATCCTGAGCTGCAGCCTCCTGCAGAAACTGAGCGATGCTGAGGCTGGCAAGAGCGAACACACGTTTTAACAGTTTCTACTCTCTCTCCCTCTCTGTGTGTGCCTCTCTCCTCTCTCTCGCCACGAATCTCCTTTCTCCCCCCCTCTTTCCCCCCTCCCTTATCTCTATCTCTCTCCACCTATCCTGCATCTCCATCTTTCTCTCTTCCAGCCACTTTCTCCCCCTCCGCTCAATTCATCCTGCATGTAATCAAATAAAAACAATTAAAACAAATAAACAGTATAGCTACACAACAATAAACATCTGTTCCACTAGTATGAGTGTCTCTATTTTACAATCCCTTACCAATATTTCTGCCAGCCTCACTGATCCACTGGCAATATTTTGGGCATTTCTCATCACCAAGCCTGTCATTAAACATAATCATCACTGTAGGTGGGTGGAAATCATTGATTGGGAAAGACTGGGTCTGTTTTCACACCGCGCCTGTCACAACAAAAACAACTCCTTTGTGATAAGCTGAGGGTTGTAGCTACTGTACAGAACTTTGTCTTTAAGCCTGATCCCCATACATGCAATCTCATCGTGTGTGTTCCTGTCAGATTGTTTGTCCTCCCCAACAGGCCAGCCAGCGAGCCCTGAAGAGTATCGACGTATACAGTGAGCACCGATGAACCAGTGACCGTCACCTCAATGGGGTGTGATTAATAAAGACTTTCCCCAATAACACACAGTTCATTAGGAGCAGGTTAATGGACTGAAATGCAAGATATCTCTACGCAGGTCCCCTGGCTCACAACGGCTCCATTTCTGCTTAATTACACTCATAGATGAGCCTTTCTCACTCTGTCCATCTATTCTTTTCCACTTGCTCTTTCTTTCTCTGCAGCTCTCTTTAATCTGACAAGCAGCACAGAAGGAGACCTGGCCTGTATCTGTCTGTCATCAGGTCAGAACCTTTTCTATCAGCATTATTTTGTCTTGGATCAACCCATTTTAAACCTTTGATCTGGTGGGTTTTTCTGCACCTGCTAATAATGCATGTGGTGGTATCTCCTAAAAGGGTTAATTGATCTCAGCTCTGGGGTTAATTGCCTCAACAAGGCCTAATGCTGCGGGACCAGACCCCTGAAGGTACAGGGTCAGATCTGAGGGGTCACCAGAGGAGATGAGGCCACTGTCAATCCAGTGTGACTGAGACATCAGAGAGTTTGGGTGCAGGGAAGTCTTCTCTTCCACACGTCTGACTGTGCATACATGCAGACCCACAGCTCATTATGATGCAGGAGATGCTGATGAAAGATGGGAATGAGCTCATCGACTTAGGAGGTTGCTTGATCTCTCTCTCTCTCTTTCTTTTTTATTAGATTATTTCAGACGCTAAACGTGTCTCTGTATAATTCCAGCCAGCCTCTTCAGTTGCCCAGGGTATCAGGGAGCTCTCTGGGAGAGGAAACAGCAACCTATAAAGGGAGATCAGCTCCCCGGCCCACAATCTGAAGAAACAGCAACCATAATAAAACGCCTTTTAAAACGGAGCACGTTCATTCATACACACACTTTCACTCCTGCACATAATTACAGGGCCATAACTCAGTCTGTATGCTCTCTGGGGAACAGCCAGACAAGCGGCAGCTATTTTTTACTCACTTGAAAAAAAACCGAAAAAAACAGTGTGGATGCTAAGATACCCATCATTTGACACCCAGGATCGACTTATCTTAATGTTGTTTCACAGACGACGCACATCAGCATGACAAATAGGAATGCGTGTTTGTATATTTTCTTTTTATTCCCGCTTTCCTGCCAAACTCCAACAATTGTACTCAATCATTGCATTGCTTGACACGTAATCCTATTTCACAGTATAATTCAGTCTGAATGAAGAGCTGCAGGCAACAGACAGCCTGGTGAGATGTCAGAGACCTGGACTGCAGGGTTTATAGATGAGTATTGGCTGCCCTCTAGTGTCTCTTTTGCGCCCCCAGGATGGAGGCAAAGCTTCAGTAGTTGTGGCAGTATAATGGGCAATGGAGGTCATTTAAAGGGTCAGTTCAACCAAATGTCTAATAAAGCAAATTTGTCCGTTTAAGTGTATTTAACTGTGCCAATAGTTTAGGCTTTGAAATTAAAAAGGAACAAAGGAAGTGGCTTATGTTAAGTTTATTGGGCTTGCAGCTGACAACATTTATATTTAAAGGAATTTTCCATTTTCATTTACAAAATTTAAAGAAGCATCCCTTTTCTGAGATAGTGTCCCTGTCCCACTGTCAACTGTTTTCTCTGGGACTATGGTAACCTGGCCTGATGTCTCTCAGTATAAGAGAGTTCACAACCGTCCCAATGTAAAATCACACTGTTTGAGGGCTCTCTGGTTGACTTTTTGCATGCACAATGCATATTACTGAATTTCACATTTAGAAAAAGACACAAACAAAAACATGGAAGGAATCAGCCAGAGGACATGTGTCTGTTCAGTTGAAATAATGCCAAAAAAGTGCTGTACCATCACTTAAACAGTGTTTGGAGACCTCGCACTACTGCTGATGACACATATGATCTCAATTATAGTCTGAGGATTCAGTGCAGACACTAAGCTTACTTCTTTACTAAAAAGTAGTGCTGTTGAAGTGTCATTTTTAAATGCTTTGAGCAGGATTAGTTTCATTCCCCTTTATTATTATGAGGTGGTGGCGCAAACTATTATCTCTAAACCTTGTAAGATAAAATATATGGATACCATCAGTGATAAGTGATGAAATTCTTCTTGTAATTTGGGTGAACAGCCCCTTTAAATACCCCCCAATGAACATTTCTCAGGGGCCCAGTGAATGAAACTTACACAAATTCATAATTAGATTATATTTATATTTGCAAATTGATCTCACAGTGCTAATCCATATGTGGTACAGATGTGACTCTTGAACCATTGAAGTACTAGATGGATCAAGATGTTGTTGAAGAGTGAGCAATTATTCTGAACTCTGGCAGCCACTAGGGGTTGCTGTAATCAAAGGAAACCTCTTGGAGTTGATGAACACCTCTGGCTCTGTACAGACTCATCCTGTGTGGGTATCAATAACCATCCATCAAACATGGGAGACTGATGTCTGACAACATGAACAAGGTGTCGTGTCAGTGTTTTTCTCGCTGTTTCCTCTACTGTGAGGAGCACATTAGCTGAAAGGAAAGGAATCTGTCTATTTCTAGCTGATGTTCCTGCTTTAGGACATACAGATAGTATCAAGCTTCAAGTCTGGAACATATTTGAGTCTCTATCTAGTTTCACTGTGACTCAATCTGATGTACTGCACTATCTGTATGTTGAAACAGCAGAAGTTGGAAATTTACTGTAAAGAAAGGTCAGATTAGCAACGGTTACTTTCTCTTTCTATGTCCCAGAATTTCCCACCACTCCCCTTCTCCATCTTAATCTCTGATCTCTAGAGATGTAAGTGTATGAAGCACTTTAAGCTAACAATGGACTGATTGAATCTCTGTGAGCTGCTCGGTGACAGAGCAGTCAGTCATCAGTGTCCTCTGCTAATAATCAATGTCTTTCTTGAGCACCGGGTAGGACACAATAAGGTCGGGAGGGAAGAACGAGTGATGACAGGGGCTTGTGCTTGAAACATAGGGGATCGTGGGATGAAGGGAGGTTTAAATGTGGATTGAGGGATGAAAAGAGGTATGGGCAGATGGAGGACAATCAAATCTCCAGCTCTGGGGAGGTCTACACACTCAGGATCCATTAATCCTGCACAGATCCCTCTTTTCTTTATGTTTCATTTCCTCCCTCTTCCTTGAGAAAAGAAAATAGTGTATAGTTTTTCATTCACTTTCCCATAATCACATATAATATTCTCTTATCAGCTGTTCAATCGTTCAGTTTTGAATATGAATTCTGTATTTGAATGTATACTTTCCCACTCTTGTCTCCACTAAAAACATTTTCAGATGTTTCCTTGAGATCTTTGAATGTATCACAGAGGGTTAATTGAGTTGCAGGAGGAAAGGGATACACATTTGAGACTTGTCAGCTTTATAATTTCCGTCTTTTTTTTCCTTGTTGAAGAGGAGTGGATTACTTCCAGACCTTGACAAAGAGACTGAGACACAGAGGCTAGTTCCATCCAAATGTTCCTCCAAGTCCTTTTAGCCATGCCCGTAGTGTGGTTGCAGAGACGGATTGTTGGCTGGTTTGTCAGTCACGTGTATGGGCAGTTATGAAACTTAGTACAAACATCTATGGTCCCCAGAAGATGAAGACACTTCTGATGTATTATTGAATAAAGACAGACCAACTGGAAGTGTATAACATATGTTAAGCAAATAAATACTTTGGCAATGAGACCCTATATATATGCAGCATCTTCATAAAGCATAGACCAGTGAAGACAGGAGATAGGACAACAACCCCCAGGAGTCTAGATGCTGCTAGTGGTAAAGTAAAGCCAGCAGGTGGAAACTCTCCTGGATGCAGCATCCAAGGAGGACCTGTTGGCTGCAGCAGTGCGGACAGAAAGATCTTTGTTCAAATATGGTTAAGTCGGAGTTTGGAAATGCAACTTTGACAGAGTGAAAAAGTGGAAGTGAAGAAGAAAAAGCAAGAATAAATAACAGACATTTTATCAAGAGGATTAAAGAAAAAATCCTGAAGAATACAGATTTAGGTAAAAACACAGTCTGGTCTGGAACTACCATTGGGCTAAACATTTTTTTTTTTTTTTTTTACCACATTAGTGGTTAGAATCTACAACAGACAGACTCATTTGTTTTCTTGTGTGAAATGAGTATCACAGCTTCACTAGTCCTGCTACAGACTTTTAATCTGGTTTCCTTTATATTTAGTGTCAGGGTTGATGAATTTATTACTCAAAATTTCATTTAATAATTCTTTATTGTCAGCAGTGTTTTCACATAGTTAAGATTAATTATAATTTCCTCTCTCTCTCTGAAAAAGAGAAACTGACAGAAAATAAAGAGTTACATGGTTTGCTGTGGGCTGAGAAAATTCCTTTGAGGCAATTAAAACTCTTAAAATGTCAAAAATGCTTTGTTATGAAGACTAAAACCAGGCTGT